TACTCTGCGTTGATACCACTGCTTTTCAAATGAACAATCAAATTGTTTTTCCAATTCTTCAAATGCTTTTAAAAATGGACCATTTGGTTTTGCAAATATATTATTTACTTTTTCAAAAAAAGCAACAGGTGCTTTTCTTAAAGTTAACCCCCATATATCCAATACATCAAGACTACCTGTTTTTTCTGCAGCTTCTTTCATTTCAAGTATCCCATATTCTTTGAATGGTAATAATTTTACTGCTTTATTAAAATATCTGATTGCACTCAGAATATGTTTATTTTCAAATTTGAATACATCTAATTCTTTTGATTTAGGTGTAAAAAATCCTTCTTGAAAACAATTAAATGTTGTATCTGTATTATTATAATCAATACTTTCTAATATTAATTGTTGTTTTATATATAATGAATCTAATACATCATAAACTGATTCTGTTGATTCAGTTATAACATTATCTATATTAAACATAATTTATACTCTCCTTTCAATATTATTGATTATTATTATTTCCATTATCATCCGATTTAACATAGATTGAATCAAAATCGTCATATTTCTTATCTATAATTTTTAAATAATGAATATTCGTTTTCTTTGTTTCATATTCTAATCGAGCATCTTTTAAATATTCAATTTCACGAGAATGCTCCATACGAGGATGCGTATTATCACTTTCTTTTATTTCTATTTCTAATGATAATGATGGAATATAAAAGTCGGGTATATATAAATGCTCTGTACCATCTTTCCATTTATACCAATAATTATTTGGTGATGGTGCAATAACATCATTCGGTGACCAATCCAATGATTTTAAATGATTTAAAAAATCTTCTTCATATGAACCGATTATACGGAATTTATGTTTATCATCCCATATATAATCTCGTGCTTTTGCATGATTATATATCATACGTCTTTGCATTTCTGCTTCATTTAGTAAATGTTCTTTACCATATACTTTAACCATTCTACTTTTCATCATACGTGTATAATCTTCCTTACATTTAGGCGACGGACACAATCTTTCATATTTCAAAGTTTCTTGATTAAAGTGTACTGGATTTTTATGACATTGAGTACATAATCGTCCTATTGGTTTATTTACTAATAATGAATAAGCCCATTCTAATGGCTCACATTCTTCAGGGACTTGATCATTATGTTGATTCTGAATATGTGTACAGAATCGATGTTTATCATTAAATATCTTTTCGCAAAAAGGACATCTTGTATTTCTCAATTTTATCACCTCCGAAAAAATTAAAATATAAAAAATATATTTTAGCATTTTGTTCTAATATGTGAAATTATGAAATAATTATTCACAACTGCATATATTCTCAAGGGTAGCATAGAAAAAATAAAAAATAAATTTCACCGGGGCATATTGCCCCGGATACTCTTCTTTTCTTTAAATTTACTGCTGTGGCTGCTGGTTCTGTGGCTGCTGGTTCTGTGGCTGCTGGTTCTGTGGCTGCTGGTTCTGTGGCTGCTGGTTCTGTGGCTGCTGGTTCTGTGGCTGCTGGTTCTGTGGCTGCTGGTTCTGTGGCTGCTGGTTCTGTGGCTGCTGGTTCTGTGGCTGCTGGTTCTGTGGCTGCTGGTTCTGTGGCTGCTGGTTCTGTGGCTGCTGGTTCTGTGGCTGCTGGTTCTGTGGCTGCTGGTTCTGTGGCTGCTGGTTCTGTGGCTGCTGGTTCTGTGGCTGCTGGTTCTGTGGCTGCTGTGGCTGCTGTGGCTGCTGGTTCTGTGGCTGCTGTGGCTGCTGTGGCTGCTGTGGCTTTTCTTCAAGATCCTTTTTCTTGGTCATCTTCGGTGCAATGCATTTTGTAACAAGTAAGGTTGAACATACACCGAGTGTGATGCCGCATCCAGCGGCTGTTATGATTCTCTTCTTTTCTTCTTTCTTTTCTTTTTCAATCTGTTTGTTTGTTCTGAATTTTAACATAAGATTACCTCCATTTTTGCTGTTTAGGCAGACAGCTCTGCATAATTATTTGGTTTATAGGATGTATAATGAATAATAGAAAGACAATATGTACAGCATCTTTCTTTTTATTCACAATAATAATATATATATGAAAAAATGATATAATCCTTCGGTGATGCTTATTTTGGTATGAATGCAATGTGGGTAGCATACAAAAACACAGAATAATATAGAGGGGCTTTCGCCCCTCAAATCATTCTGTTGTATATTTTACATACATTTATAATGTATGTAAACGGAATGATAATTCCTACATGCGATATCATTTTGGAATAATAAATTAGTAAAGGAGCTTTATAATTATGGCTAATAGATTAGAAATAGTAAAACCAATTACCAGTAATTCATCAAAGAATAAATTCAAATTTAATGATTCTTTTAAAGAAACTTTTAATGCGATGATTGGTATATATTCTAATGCTTTAAATGATTTAAATAGAGTAATAAATAAAAAATCTATTGAATCAGATTATGGTGTTTGTTTATGTCGTTATAAAACAAGATATATTACACCAAATAACATATCAGAATATATAAGCAATCTACTTAAGGAATGTCAACTGGTTTATTCAGAAATAGAATAGATGATGTTGAAACATTTACTGTTGCATCAGTTAAAAAGTTTATGGAAGAAAATGATTGTGAATTATTTGAAGATTCTGTTGCAATTGATAATAAGAAAACTTATGTAAATCCTAAAGAATATACTTTAAATGATTTAGCATTATTATGTGAAAATGATATATCAGAAGTTAGTGTATATTCAAAAGGAGAAATGCTTAAACGACTTGAATTAGTTTCTGATGATGTTAAGAAAATGAACGAAATGTATTTTGCTGCTAACATCAAAAAAATCGTTAATGCTAGTACTCTGCGTTGATACCACTGCTTTTGTATATCCTCATATACTATTAATAGTATATGTACAACATTTATTGAAGATTTTATCTTATTTACTTGCACTGTAAATACAATAGCTGTATTACAAATGACAGGTTATGTAAAACCTGGAGTTGAATATAATATAATATCAAAAGATACAAATTCTCGTGAATTAATAACTGAATCATGTATGATTAATACAACAGACTATATGATTCGTAACAGATTACCTTTTAATTGTAATATGAGAGATATTGTTCTTATGGATGTAACTCCTGATTTTAAAGATACTCATGATGCAATGCATTTTATACTTCAAGACATGAGATCTCCGATAAGTATATTAATGAATAAGTTTGCTACAAAACAAGCAGATGTTCCAGGTGATTTATTATTAATATCAAATATGTTTGTTGGTATGGATCATTATGCATGTGAAGAATATTTTTTCAAAAACAGGTAAAAGAAAACAACAAGCTGTTACTCCTTTGGAAGCAACTGGATTTAATCAGCAAATGGCTGGTTAGATACAATTACATTTGGAAATAATTATCTTGATGGTAATTATAGACGTGATGCAGTTGGTAATAATGCAACAAATCCAATTACAAATTCTTTAGATGTTTTATATCGAGTATTTTCTGGTCGTGGCTGTAAAACAAATGAAGATGTTGCTAATAATTTAGTCAGAGTTGCAAATGTTATGCGTGCAATTATACATGATTACAGAGATGGAAATCCAATTGAAAATTATGATTTAACAAAAGATATATTAACACTTCTTGGAGAAATCTTTACAAGAAATACTTTACGTTTATATTATAATAATACTCGTGTTTATGATTGTACTGATAATATACCAGATGCTGCTGCTCCTGGATTTATATGTATGGAAAGTTTCGTCATGGAAGCGGATGGTGATACATCTAATAATTCAACTACCACATCTACAAATGCTGCAAATGTTACAACTGCTGCTACTACTGCTAATGCAACCAACACTAATGCCAATAAGACAAAAACAACTGTTACATTTAAAAATGATCAGGGTGATCAAGTTAAAAATAAATTAACAACAAAGATTAGTGTCATTGTTCAAAAGTTCATTCAATGGGTTAGAGAAAAGATGATGCGTTTCTCAGATAACTTCAATAAGAATCATGAAAAAGAAGTTGACTGGATTAAAAACAATATGAAACTAAATGAAGAAATCAAAGACGCTATTAAGAAAGGAACTTTCAAACCAAATGTTTCTAACTTCCCTGAATATAAAATAAATATGAAAAATATTCAGACTAAAGGTCTTGATAAACGTATTGATGATGCTTTAGATGTTAAAAAAGAATTTAATTCATCCGACTTTATTATTGATACAATCACTAATGATGCTAATGTTAAAAATGAATTACAAAAGAAAGACAGATCAAATGAAGAGACTGCTAAAATATGGGCAAATTATGTTTTGTATTCTCGTGTTGATGAACCTAAATTATATACAGGAGCATTAACAGCTGATATGTGGGAAGATTTGTATACTGACTTAACAAAAGCAATGAGTTTAATTGAAGGCGTTGTAAAAGAAAATGGAAAACAATTAAACGATGCATCAGAAAAAGTTAAACGAGTTGTTTCAGAAGCAGAAACTGTTTTAAATGGTACTAAGAGTGATTCTAAAAAATTAGAAGATGCTCAGAAATCATATGATAGAAGTGTTGCTGTAAATAAAGCAGTACAAACAATTGTAACTGTTTATGACACAACAACACTTAATGTTCTTAATAGTAAATTCTATAGAACAAGTTATAATTTATACCGTGAAATTGTTGCTGGTTATAAACAACAATCAAATTCTAATACTTCAGCAAATGCTACTTCTAATGAAACAGAAAAGGCTGTTGAAAATGCTGCAACTGAATCTGAATCAGAAAACAATAATACAGAACTCAATGAAGAATAATAAAAGGAGGTAATAAGAATGATTAATATAAATGATTATATTACGAAAAATAATAAACCAGTTACATCGGTTAATAAATCATCAAATCGTAATAATGCATATAAATCTCATATTGAACAGACAATTGCTAAATCATCAAACATAATAACTGCTTTAGAAAGTGTTGGAGCAATGTATGGTATTCCTGCTTCAAATATTATATCAGATGATACAGCTCATGCCATCAGCGTTCAGAATGATACAATCATTGCACCACCATTACCAAATCCTGAAAAATACACAAAACCAATTATGCAATCAATTAGTGGAGCTTTGGATTTTATATCACAACGTATTGATGATAAACTGGATGATTATCAAATGAATAATATAAAACAAGGTCGTATTGATGATGCTATTGCTAATGCAAATCCAAATAAAGGTAAATGTATTGGTCGATATGAAGATGAAGAGGGTGGAGAAATATTAGCATATGATACTGGATTAGTAGATATGCCTAATACTGAAGCTGGTCGTAGAAAGGTTGAGGAATTACGTGCAGATGGAACAATTCCTTCTATCGAATGGCGTGATGGTAGAATGCAACGTAAACAAGATCCTGAATACTTCAGTGATGAAGATGATGTATCTGATAATGTTGATATGAATGCTTCATCCGACATATCAGCATCTGATTCTGAAATAAATAGTATGACAAATGATGTTTCTTCAACGATTAATGAATCCGCTTATCATTTAAGAATGATTTCTAAAATGAATAATACTACACATCTTGGTTATGATTTACTTCAGAAACATGGTTTTGATTATGTTAAACCTATTGATTCTATCGTAATGGAATCTGATACTAAAGAAAAAGATAATGAAAAAGAAACCAAAGCAATTTTACCAAAAGATATTAAACATCTTAAATTTGATAATACTGCATTATTGAATGCGGTGAAATATTTCAATAAAGCAAGAATGGAACAAAGCAACATTGCTGATGGTAAAATTGATCTTGATAAATTCATTAATTCATCAAATTATGAAAAAGCAATTGATTCATTAAATAAACAATTTGATTGTCGTATTAATTTACGTTTTGATGGTAAGAATGATAATGCTAATGCGGCAACATTTATACTTGATGATCTTAAAAAGAAATTAACAATATCAAAATCAAAGGGATTTCAATTAGGTGGTTTACCAATTGATATTATGGTATATGGTCATTACTTTGAAATGTCATCTCCAAGAGATCAAGAATTATTTGGACAATCAATAGTATCAACAATATGTCATGAAATATTCCATAATATATCTGCAGTATTGAGAGATAATAATGTTAAATCCGGTATGTCATTAATTGCTACTTTAAATTTAGCTGCTGGTGCAAAATCAATGAAAGAACGTCGTATTATTATAACAAATTATGTTGATACAATTGAAAAGATGGGTAAGTCTGGTATCATCAGTAAAATTGCTAAACAGCAAATGGTTCATGAATTAATGGTATTATCAATGATATATGGAAATACAAATGGGTTTAATCAAAAAATGAAATCAGGTAAACTTGGTAAAAAGAAAACAGATAAATCTAAGAATTCTTCAGATGATAAAAAGAGCAGAGATGCTGATAAGTATATTGATGAATTAAATAAGACATATAAAAAATTAATTAGATTTCATAAGATATCTACAAGTGCTACTCTTAATTTTTCTCTTGATATTTTGAATATTGCATTATCTGCTATTGTATATCATTTTAATCCTACATTAGGAACATTTTTCTTCTTCTTAGATTTCGCAATCATACTTTATGATATTTCTTATTATAACAACAGAAAGAAGTATGATGATGAAACATTATATGAAGAATATTATTGTGATTTATTTGCAGGAATGTATAAATTGCCAAAGGTATTTTTCCTGGGTAGCTCAAAAAAGAAATATACTCCTAATGAAGTTGATAAAAAGAAATTAAATGAATTAGCTAAAAATGAAAAAGAATTCTTTGAAATTATTCAATGCAATTATCCAACTGATCTTGAAAGAACTCATGCTGGTGTTAAGATTGCTAAATCACTTCTTAAAGAAAAAGATCTTGATGAATCAACCAAAAAATATTGTGAATGGATTGTTGATAAATTCTCAAAAGTATCTGAAACTGATATTGAGACAATTTATAACAAAACAACATTTGATCCAAAGGAAGCTGAAGATCTGGATAAACATTTAACTGATTTAATTGAAGATAATAGCAATTGTATTAACTGAATCTTATGTATTTAAAAAATAAAATATAAGTATAGGATGTGATATTCATGAATAATATTATTACAGACAATTTACATGATGCTATTCTTGAAATAGATGAAGTAACTATTGAGTCTACATTAGATATTCATGATGCTATTCTTGCTGAATATGATAAAGCTATAATGATAATGGAGACGAATTTCTCGTCTCCATTATTAGGTGAAATGTTTTATCAAGAAGAAGAAAGCATTATGGATAAAGCTACTGGAAAATTCAAAGATGAAAATATCATATGGAAAGTATTAGCATTTATTCCTCGTTTATTTATTGCTATTGGTGCAAAATTAGTAAATGGAATCAAGAATCTTGGTAAGAATAAAGATGAAGTTGAAGATACCATCGATAAAGAAATCGATCAAGCAAAAGAAACTATCGAAAATGCTGATGATTCATTACTTGGTAAAATTAAAGAAAGAGTATTTGCTAATAGTGATGGTAAAGCCGAATTTGATCCTAAAGAAAAAGTATTCAAATTAGGTGCATTTGGTAGAATAATAAATGCAATGATTATGATAATTGGTGCTACTGCAATACTTCCTAAAATAGTAACCCGTGCAAAAGCAGAAGGTGGTATTTATGCTGAAATGGGTTCTGAAATCAAAAAGATAATAACTCTTGAAAAAACTCCAGATATGGAAACATATCAATATTCCATTACAGCATTAGGACAACTTTTACATGATTTTGGTGGAGCTTCAATAGTTGTTTCTGCAGCATCAAAAGAATTGTCACAGATATTGAAAGCTAAAATAGATAAAGAAATGAAAAAAGGTAATAACCCTGAACAATTGAAAGAACTTCAGGTTTTATCAAAAAGAATTTCAGTTTTATCTCGTAATACTGCTATCGCTGCTCCTGGATTAAACTTATTAAGAGGCATTATCAAGTCATCAGTAACTGATAAAATTGTTACAAATGTTGCTACAAGTGATAGTGACACTACAAAAGAAATGAATGAAATAGCATCAGATAATAATGTTACCAGAGCACAAATAAAAGCAGAGGAATTAAAGGCAAAACGTTTAAAGAAACAAATTAAAAAAGCAAAGAAAAATGAAAGTAAATTAAATGAATTAGAATCTAATAATGAATATCTTGATAGATCATTAGCAGAGAAAAAGAGAAAAACACAAAAATTACAAGATAAATACGATCACATGTTAGATCGTGATGATAATGATGATGAATAAAAAGGAGGTATAATCAAATGGATAAATATGAAAGTATGTTAATGGTTATTGATAATATCGATAATCAAAAACTTAATTCTGAATTAAATGTTATCAGAACAATGAACTCATTATATTCAAAATCATTTTTAATATCGGAATACTATAATGGTGATATTGATGATTTCATGGTATATCAAGAAGGAAAAAATGATTCAATAATGGATCGAGTTCATAAACGTGAAAAGAAAGATAATAATAAATTTATCACATTATTAAAATTTATTCCACGTATAATAATTGAAACTTTTAAAAAGTTATCAGAATCATTTAAAAAAAGTAATTTATATAAAAAACTCAAAGGCAAAAAAGGTTTATCAAATGCTGATTTAGCAGCAAAGAGAAAATGTGTTGAGGAATTTAATAAACGTTATAAAGGTAAGTTCCAAGTTTATCTTGATGAAAAGACTGGTAAAATTAAATTCAAGAATAAAGTATCAATGTTGTTTGGTACGATAATGTGGTTTATTGTAACTGGCATTACTATTAAAAATTTATTGGAAAAAATCAAAGCACATTTTGATCCAACTAATACAACAGAGTACTCTGCGTTGATACCACTGCTTAAAAAGATTCTTGATAAAGATAGTGATGAAGACAAGGATGTTTTAAAACTCATTGATTCTGGTATTGATGGCGTTGGTGAAGCTCTTGGTGATGTATGTGCTGCTACTGCATCAATTACAGCACTGACTGCTGGTATCAATAAAACGATTGAATTATTCATTGCAAAGAATCAAATTTCTGATAATCCAAGTAACAATATGCAAAATTCAATGAGAGCGATTACTGATTTTAATGATGCATTAAATAAAATTTGTCTTAAGATAGCTGTAGTAACAGGTGCTATATCACTTATATCGGATATTACTGGATTCTTTAATGGATTTGCGAAAAGCTTTGAAAACACGCGTCATTATCTTAACTTTGATAATGTTGACAGATGGATTTATGCAATGCGTCAACCAATAATTGAAGTTGTTTATAGTGTATTACATCCACAATCAAAAGGTGAATCAGAATCTGCTTATTATGTGCGTCTTTCAAATTATGCTGATAAAGCTGTGTTACATGATATCGAAGCTTTAGGTGTTGATATATCCAGAGGTATTGGTGAATCTGCCGATGATTATGAAATTCGTAAAAAGAATATATTGTGTGATGCATATTATTTTGAATATGATTCTATTAGTAGTGATGAAAATAAATTGAATTTCAGTCCTGCATATATAGAATACATCAGTGATGATAAGGGTAAAGCTATAAAATTTGCAGCTCAAAAAGATAAAAACGGAAATTATGAACCGTTAACAGCTGATGATGGTTCATATAAAATATATGAAAAATCTATGAAAAAAGAAGGTATTAAACCACGTAAGTTACCAGTTTTTAAAACATTTATTAATATTAATTTTGATAATGCAAATGATGATAATTCATTTATTCTCGGAGGAAGCAATAAGTCACAATTGAATATGGATATTAAAAAAGCTGCAGAAGCATATAGTCGTGATACAAATATAGAAAACTTTAAACTTATATTCGCATCTATTAGTGCAAATTATATAAGTGCTAATACTTTAGAAGCCCTTGCAAAGAAAACATCAATACCAACAAGATATATACGAAGTTTAATATATATGGCTGCATCAGAATTATTTATAAATGAAAATTCACCAAATGGTTTCAAGGGTAGATTATTTGTGAAAAAAGCAGTAAAAAATATGATTAAATTTGATAAAGCTAAGGCAATAAGTGAATTACCTGATAATCAACAAAAGTTATATATCAGATCAAAACTGCTTGAAAACGATGCAGCATATATAGAAGATAAAGAGCTTCGTGAAAGATTTATTAAAGCAATTAATGAAGCTGAAACAAATCCAAATAATCAACAGAAACGTGGAGAAAAAATCAGTTCATTTAATGAACGTCATCAAAAATCAATTAACGCAGTTATTGATAAATTCTTAGATAATCATCAGGATATTTACAGAAAATTATATGATGAAGCTTCTGATGAAAAAACATTAAATAAATATATGAAGAGTATTGAAAAATCTAAGAAAGAATCCAAGAAATCAAAAAATAAATAAAATATATTATAGGAGGAATAATTATGGGTTTTACAAATTCATCATTAGTTGAATATACAAGGATTTCACCAAACAGAAATTCTCCACGTAATCAACCAATAACAAAAATAACACCACATCATATGGCTGGAATTTTATCATTAGAGCAATTTGGAAATGAAGCATGTAATCCAAATAGAGAAGTTAGTGCAAACTATGCTATTGATAAAGATGGACGTATCGGTTTATTCTGTCCTGAATCCGATCGTTCATGGTGTTCATCATCTCCATGGAATGATAATCGTGCTGTAACAATTGAAGTATCTAATTCAGCAACAGGAGATTCATCTGGATGGCCTGTTAGTGATAAAGTATATCAGAGATTAATTGACTTATGTGTTGATATATGTAAGAGAAACAATATTCCTAAGTTAACATATACAGGTGATCAGAATGGTTCATTAACATTCCACAGATTCTTTACAGCAACAGCATGTCTTCCAACCGACAATACAGAGGTATTAACACCTCTCGGTTGGAAAAATATTAAAGAAGTCAAAATAGGAGATAAAGTAGCAACATATAATCGTGAAACACATCAAATTGTATTTGATCATATTCAGAATATGGTTGAACCAAAAGTATGCGATACATTCTCTTATCAGGGACTCGAAGCAACAATCGATCATACTGTAATTGTATATGATTATGAAGGTAATGAAAAAGTTGAATTATTCTCTACCGTAGTAAATGATATTAATAATACTTATGTTGCATTCCCTACAACAGATGAATCTGATCTTAATGATATATCAAAAAGAGACTTCACTAGATTCAGACCAATACAACGAGAAAATGTTGAAGTATCATGTATTACAGTTGAAACAGGTTTCTTTGTAATTCGTCAAGGAGTTACAATAACAATTGTTGGTAACTGCCCAGGTCCATTCTTATTTAATAAAGCACAGGATTTATGTAATAAGGTTAATGCCAGATTAACATCATCATCACCATCAACTAACACAACAACAAGTACAACAACATTTAAGGTTGGTGATTTAGTATCAATTGCATCAAATGCAACATACTATACAGGTTCATCAATACCAAGTTGGGTTAAAGAAGAAAAGTGGTTCATTTCATCGATTTCTAATAATCGTGCTGTCTTAGGTTTAAATGAAGCAAAGAATAGAAATATCCAATCTCCAATTGATGTTAGATATCTTACAAAAGCAACAACTTCATTTAAATCATATACTAAAACATTATCATCAACTGATATATTATATGCAAACCCAGGTGGAACAACAAAAGGTACAGTTGGTTCAAATGGCGTATTTACAATAATAGAAGAAAAGACAGTAAATAATGTTGTATACGGAAAACTCAAGAGTGGTGCAGGTTGGATTATAGTAAAAGATAATAGAGTTATCAAAAAAGGCGACAAGGTTAAAGTAATTAATCCAGTTCAGTATAATTCAACAAAAACATTCACACAGTATGTTTCAGTATATTATGTTTTAGAAGTTAATGGTGATAGAGTTGTAATATCATCTGATGGAAAGAATGTAACTACTGCAATTAATAAATCAAATATACAAAAAATTTAATATTATGGGGGCTTATAGCCCCCAATTTAAATTTAACGTTATTTTTTGAAAATAAAAGAGAGATACTATCGTAGAGAACTATTTAATTTCACTCTTTATCCGGCGTTCTTCGCAAAGAGTTTCTACTCTTTTCTCAGAACTTACGTTCAAAAAATTATACAGTAGTAACCCTTTTTTATATTTTTTATATGCTATATAATTAAAATCACGTAACTATTTATATTAACGACTTTTTTAAAATGCTATTTTAGCAATTGAGAATGAGGGAAATCCCATAGATCGGATTTCCCTCAAACTCCCTTTTCTGGCATTGATATAGAGAAATTCGGATTTCATTTCATTCAATCTCGATTTCTCTATATCAAAAATTGAGTACTCTGCGTTGATACCACTGCTTGAAAGGAGGTAACTATACTAAAACAATTTCACAAAGGAGTATAAAAACAATGTGGAAAAAGCTAAATTATCCGCAAGGCAGTTTGCTATTTGACGTTAGGTATTACCGAAAGCCGGAGTGCTTTGAAGTAGTATACTTTAACCCGATAACACAACAACTGGAGGTGAAGTATGAAGAACCGATAATAGATATCTGGTTCCTGAAAAAGGAGTATAGAACAAATGAAAAACAGATATCACAGGCAGATATAGATAAATGCTATCCTGTCTACTGTAAGCCTTCTCAAGTATCATCAGCAATTGCTAAGAATATTGGAGGAGATTACGAAGATTTTTATAATGAAAATGTCAATATTCTACGTCCTAGGGAAATATCTGATTATATGCTCAAATGCCCTTGGGTATTTAAAGCAGATTTTTTACCTGATGTATATTTCAGATTAAGATGGTTGCAAGAATATGGTGAAGAAATCGACATTTCTCAGATAACATACGGATTTGTCGATATAGAAGTTGATGTATTGGACAAGACAGTTGATCCGAAAGATACACATGATGTTACGCAACCTGTAAATGCTGTAACTATAATATTGCCACATAAGAAAATATGTGCAGTACTTGTATTAGGACCACGTCCGAAATATAAGCTTGATCAAAAGTTTCATTCATTATTATTAAAACAGGAGGTAGAATATGATTGGTTAGTTAGTCATCAAGAAGAATTTAAAAGGATGATTGTAGAAGATGATCCAGATAATAATAAATATTTAATAGATTACGATATACGATTACATTTATTTGATTTTAAAGATGAAATAAAATTGATAAAAACAGTATTCGATTATATCAATAAATATCGACCTATGTTCTGTTTATCATGGAATGCGAAATTTGATGATAACTACCTTATGAACAGAATAGCCTATTTAGGATATAATCCTAAAGATTTCATAATTCCAAAAGAATTTAAAACAGATATGTTATTTTATCATGAAGATGATACTAATAGTTTTTCTCTCAAGAATAGTAGGGATTGGTTCTATTCATCAACATATACTATTTATCTATGTCAAATGAGATTGTTTGCTATGATTCGTAAATCTCAATCAGAAAGACGATCATATTCTCTATCATCAGTCGGTAAAGACATGGCAAAAATTGATAAGTTAACACAAACGAAATCAGGGGCATTCAGGCAATTCGCATATACAGATTTTCTTAAATTTATTCTATATAACGTAAGAGACGTTGTTGTTCAACTAGCTATTGAAACAGCAGTTAATGACTGTCAATCTCTTGTGGCTCGATCTTATATGTATGCAACACAATATGCAAAATGTTTTCAGGAAACACATATAGTCCGAAATATGCGTGAATATTCATTTGAAGAAGATGGAATGATTCAATCATGTAAATTGACTGTTTCACCTAATATTGATACTGCGTATAAAGGAGCATTCGTTGCACCTACTGTTCATAATGCTCCAACTGGATTAGTTGTAAACAGAAAGCGAATTAATAATGTCATGTATGGTGTATTAGATGCTGACGCTGCTGCATACTACCCATCAACTAAAATGGGATTAAATATGGATCCTATGACATTAATTTATAAATGTTTAATCAAAAATTGCGTATTTATCAATAAAATGTGTAGTAACAAATCTTTGAACCAAGAATATTATTGGTATGATAGCAAGAATAAGCCACATGATGAAGATATGACAGGTCCAATCATAAATTCATATAAGAACAAGAACGAAATGTCATTATTACACAACTGGTGCAATGCACCATCTGTTTCTGATATTTTTGAATATGTAGAAAACAATTTAATTAGTTAAAAAAAATAAGGAAGGATGAAAAATATAAATGGCAAAATTAAATAATTATGGAGATAATAATATACCTGATGTAGACTTAGCTGAATTAGCTACAAAATATATGTGTCTATATGGAGTTAATATAAATCTTCAAAGAGCTATTCCTCAAATACAAGATGGATTAAAACCAGTTCAACGTAGAATCTTGTATCAAATGTATAAATATTATAGAAATAATAAAGTTCGTGTATCAGTATTAATGGGTGATGTAATGAAAATACACCCACATTCAGATATGGGTGTTGGTGATACTATCGCAAGAATGTGTCAAACTTTCGCAAATAATATTCCTTTAATATCAGCAACAGGTAATGCCGGAAATGTTACATCTGGTGATGATGCTGCTGCACCAAGATATCTTGATGTATTAATGCCTCAGTTTACAAAAGATATATTATTTGATGAATTTGATGGTAAGATTGATATGAAATCATCATATGATGATTCGACAGAAGAGCCATTCTGCTTACCTTCAAAATTTCCATTAATATTATTAAATGGCTCTTCAGGTATTGGATATACTTTATCATCTGATGTACCACCATACAATTTAGCTGAAGTAGCTGATGCAACAATTAAACTATTAAAGAACCCATCAGCTAAAGTAAATCTTGTACCAGATTTGCCAACAGGATGCGACATTATTGTTGTTGATGATGAAACATTCGTAATGCAGTCATCATATGAAATTGATAATGTAAATTATACGATTACAATTAAGAATACACCATATTTGAAATATCTTGAAAAGATTGATGCTGAATTAAGATTTATTCAGGATGGTCCAAATCCAATAAAAGAAATCTTATCAGCAGATGATGAATCTGATCTTCTTAATAATGATTTTAGATATATCATTAGATGTAAACCGTGTAATTTATATAAGACTCTCGATACATTATTCAAGAGAGTCCCAGGTTTCAGGGATGGTATATCAACAAGAAATATGGTTATTGTTGATACTGACTTTACAACCAAAAAATATAATACACGTCAAATCTTATGTTCATGGATTATGTTCAGATTAAAATATAAGAGAGGCTGGTTCTTGCGTGAATTGGTTGATAAAACAACCGAGAATAATATGCTTACGGGTAAATTATTTATGCTGTCACCAAAGAATCTTGATAAGACAATAAAGATTTTCAAATCATGTAAATCAAGAGAAGATATCATTCCATCATTAGTTAAAGGATATGAAGGAAAAGTAACATCTTCACAAGCTAATTATGTTTCTGAATTAAAGATGTATCAATTAAATATGAAAGAATATGAAAAGACTCAAAAAGAAATAAAAGAATTAGAAAAAGAGATTGAATATATTCGTAGTATTGTTGATGATCCTGATAAGATAAGAGATGTAATAATAAATGAAATAAAAGAAATAAAGAACAAATATGGTTATTCAAGAAAAAGTACAATAATAAATCCAAATAAACAAAATAATGTTAATATTGGTATTGTACAAATCTTAACAGATGGATCAATCATATTTGCAGAAACAGAAAACCCAGAGCATCTGTCATCTGATATAACTCCTGTATCCGGAGATGAAGTTTGTCTTATTGATGAATATGGTAATTTTATCAAAGTTAATGTAAATAAAGTTCCTCACAATAAACCATTAACGTTAACTTCGATTGGTAAAACAATAATGGGTAAATGTGTTTCAGCAGTATCAAATAATTCAAATGATATAATCATATTAACTAACAAAGGCAGAATAAAATATATGCCAATCAACAAGATACCTTCAAATGCAACAAGAAAACCATTAGTACCAATATCTGGTGATGAAAGAATAGTAACAGTATTAGAAGCATCTGAAAATAATGATTCAGATATTTTAATATATACAAATAATGGTTTAGGTAAAAGAATACAAACTTCCGATTTGAATAAAGTATCATCAGTAGATGCAGCAGGTCAGTTCATAATAAAAGGTGATAATGAAACAATGGGAATGTTTTATGTTAATTCAAGAAAGCCGTATATTTTATATGTTACCCGACTTGGTAGAATTCGTCTCAATCATTCTAAGTTTTTAACAACAGGAAAGAAATTCGGTGATCCAAAACCAATAATCAAATTATCACCACAGGATGATTTAGTTGCTGTATTCTGTGTTGATAAGGATCAGTCAGTAACATTAAATCATGCAGATTCAAGAGTATCAACAATTAATATTGATTCATTGAATGTATCAACAATGGCATTACCACCAGAACGACCAAAGCATGTTCCAGGTGTAAAAGTTATAAGAGCAACAATATCATGATTAAAATGACGGGGATAATTCCCCGTCATAATATTTTTTATGTAAAGGAAGAGTCAAATGAATAACGAACAACCATTAATGTTATCACGTAATATGTATAAATTATTTTTAATTAATAAATTTTGTGATAAATATAATTTAAATAAGAAATCAATAATTAATGATGATGAATCTTTATTTAATATAATAAAAGACATATGTCAAATTATGATTATTAGAAATGAATTTAAAAGACCTTTATCTCATTTAACTGAATCATATAATAAATATAATATATTATTTAATAACAAGATAATAGCGTTAGGATATTTTACTGATGATGAAGTAAATGATATAAATAATCTTGACGTTAGAATATCAATCAAGGAGATGAAACAAATTGAGTGAAAAGTTTGTAGTTACAGTAAGAGCTACATCAATAACTGTTTATCCTGGTGAAGCAGCATTTATAATGTTACAACCATTAATTGATATGCTGACATATGAAGATGAATTCATGGATGAAACACGAACACTTGGTTATATGTATGATAAAGAATCAGATACTTTATTTCTTCATAAAGGTGTTGATTTAAATTATCTTAAACGATTATTAGAAAATGTGGAATTTGTAAATGATCTATATCATGAATATAAACAAATGGATTTTGAATATGAAGAAATAATAGCACCAAGAAATGATGAACAAGTTGATGTTATTAATTTCATATCAGGAATGAATCATCATTCACAAAATATAGAAGAAAGCCAACTGTTCTTAGTTAAGCAACCTGGTTTTGGTAAAGCAGAACCAGTATCGCGTAAAATACCAGCAAATAATTTAAAGGGTTATATTTTAATGGGTGATATCAAACCAGGTGATCATGTATTTAATCGTAAAGGTATTCCAACTTGTGTAACGGATGTATTTCCTCAGGGAGTAAAAGATGTTTATAAAATAACATTTGAAGATGGTCGTGTTGCATATTGTTGTAAAGAGCATTTATGGTGTGTTTCAAACGATAACGGTGCTAATTGGAATTGTATTAAATTGGAAGATATGTTGGATAATTTTAATTATGTAATTCCTATGTCACATGGAACTGATCATGTTCCTGGAGGATATCGTACATCTATTCTTGCTTTAAAATATATTCATGAATTAATAATTAATAATGATGATGAAGCATTAGTATTATTAAAATTATTATTGGTAGATACTTATGTTAATCGACGTATATTATTACATTATATTTCTGAATCAATAATCAATTCAGATCATAGAATAATTCATATTAATGAAAAATATCATTATTTAGTTAAACAATTAATATATTCGATAGGATATACTATTAAGATTGAAAATAATGATATTTATTATTATAAATCAAATACTTTAAGAATTACAAATATTGAATATTCACATCAAGAAGAATGTAAATGTATTATGGTTAGTGATCCTGAACATTTGTATCTAACTGAAGATTATATCGTGACTCATAACACATATTGTTCAGGTGTTGGTTTATGTAAATATAATGCAAAAACATTAATTATTATGCATCGAGATTCATTAAGAAAACAATGGTTAAATTCATTATTTAATATGAGTGGTTTATCAAGTAAATATGTTCATGAAATTGCAGATTCAGATGAATTATATGCAATTGCACATAATGAACATAATTTTGATTATGATGTATATTTAATGACACATTCAACATTTCGTGCTGGATTACGTAAAATACAAAAGCTTCATGATATGATGAATATAACAAAGAATCTTGGTATTGGTATGAAAATCATTGATGAAGCACATCTTGAATTTAGAGATACTTTATTAATGGATTTTGTATTTAATGTAAAAAGAAATTTATATTTAACAGCAACAGATGGTCGATCATCAAAAGATGAAAATTCAATATTTAAACATTCATTTGCAAATGCATTATATTACAAACCGTCAGTATTATTAACATCGAATATTCCTAAGAAATGGGTTGACTATATTTCAATTGCAGTTAATTCTAAATGTAATCCGAATATATATCGATATCGTGTTGCTGGTGGTCGAGGCATGAATAATGCATCATACGGTAAATGGGTAATTGCTTATGATAAAAAGAAAACACATTTCAATTGTTGTTTAGAAATATTACGTGATATGATATACAATAATGATTCACATGCAAAGGTATTATTATTTATGCCTTTGATTGAATTATGTGAAGAATGTGCTTATTTCTTAAAAATGGCTTTAGGTAAAGATGACAGTTTTGAATATGATTTGGATATTCGTACAATCAATTCAAAGAATTCTAAACAAGATAATGAATATGCTAAAAGAGCTGATGTGATTGTTACAACAATTGCTTCATGTGGTACTGGTACAGATATCCCAGGAATAACTGATATAATTTCATGTTCTCCTTATGTATCTAAGATTACTGCTGAACAGGTTTTTGGTCGTATTCGTTATTGTGGTAAATTATGTCATTATTATGACATCTATGATCAATCTGTGCAATTGGATGTATTCTGGTACAGAAGTAGATCAAAGAAATTAAAGTCATTAGCATTAAATACAAAACATCTTGAATGGACAAATACAAATAATACTTCAGATAATAAAAATAAATAATAATCGGGGCAATTGCCCCGATTTCTTTTTTATACCGTGTTATAATAAATTTAATAGAAAGGTTGTGTGATAAATGTCAACAACAAAATTACATGATTACATTTATAACATTGAAATGGCTCAGATAGAATCTGAATTAGATGTTTCAATGCAGCTGTATGATACATATGCAAAAGCTGCTAACATACTTGAATATTACAATGGTAATGATTTATCATCATTTGCAATATTTAATGATGATTATGAAAATAATACCATCATCCAAGAAGGTAAAATAATGGATGATGTGAAGAAACAGAGTAATGGTAAAAGTACATTAAACAAAATATTCTTTTTTATTCCAAGATTATTAAAATCATTATTCCGTTGGATTACTGGACAATTATCAGATGAAAATCATAAAAAAGCAATAGATCTATATAATTCATCAGAATCAAAGAGTAAGCTTAAAGGTGTTGTTAACTTTTGTAAAGAACATGGTCCTTATGTTGGTTTAGTCGGATCAACCTGGTTACTATCTGCTCTTAATTTTAGTGAAACATTTAATGACTGGTATTCAAATACTGCATTAGGGAAATTTGAATATAAAGTGGCTAACAAAATTTTGGACGTTCCTGTACTAGGTAAAGCAACATCTATAGCCGCTAACACAGCATCTAATGCAATATCAGCACCATTAATAGTACGAGACAAGATAAATCAACATCCAAATACAAAAAAGAATGAAGTATATTATGGTAATGAATTAAACAAATACAAAGAAGGACCTAAACATTTTGTTGATAATGGTAAAGTAAAAAAATTTAAAGTTGATCCAAAAAAGGTTAAAATGCTTGATAATATCGCTGAATCAATAGATAATATTATTAAGAATATTAATGATTCATCATCAAAAGCAATGAAATCTGAGGCAATTGTTTTAGTCCTTGATGTAAAAGATTCTGAATTAAAGACTAATTTCAATGCAGAAGCATATATTAATTATTGTAAACAATTTGAATTATTAATCGAGTCATATAAACAATTACTTGATAATATAAAAGCAAAAGTCAAATTATTTGGCAATAAAAAGAAGATTGAAGCAAAAGGATTAAATTTTAAGGATGTATTGGAAAAGGCTAATAAGATACAAGAACTTTCAAAAACATCAACAATGTTAATACCTGATAATGGTTTAGCTTCACGTATTAGAAAATCACGTAGTATATTAAATATGGACAAATATAATGATAAAATGAATTATGTTCCAATGACAGAAACAATAAAATTATTGTCAGATAAAAATAATAAATGTGCTGCTACATTAAAAAATATTAATGATACATTAACTGAAATAAATAATTTAGAAAAACAAATTAGTGCAAAAAATATTTCCGACTTATTTGATGATATTGAAGCAACTAAAAATGAATATACTAAAGAATTATTTTCAATTCAAGAAAAATTAGAAATAGGTAATAAATTTATCAGACAAATGACTAATATATATCATGAATTAAGTAAGTTATATACAGTGAGTGCTGATATATTTTGTGAATGTGGTGAAGCATACAATAATATTACACAATATGGAACTAAAGATTTCAAATCAAATATAAATACAGCAACAGGTGCTCAATATATATTAGATTTTAATATAACTCTTGAAACATTTATTAATGATCTTTTTAAAGATCATTCTAAGGGAATAAACCCATTTGAAGAAATTATTAATGATAAAGAAACAACTATAAAATGTGCTACTTCAATATTAAAAGAATTTAATATTAAAATCGATTCAAAATTTGATAGATTAAAAGAATTAGATCCAAAAAATACAGCTATTAAAAATAAAATTGCCACAAAAGGTAAAGGTATTATAGAGGGAACACAAGAAGTTTTAAATGATTTCAAAAATGATATTGAAAAATTTAAAAAATCTGTCAATGATCTTACAATAAATGATATACCAAAATGGACAGAAGCTAAAATGGAAGATATTAAGAAAAAATTCTCAGAATTATCAGATATATCAATTAATAAAATTAATAATAATTATAATAAAATTGAGGAAGTTATTGATAAAATAACAAAATACAATGATGACGCTAAATAATAATATAGTATTTTTTCGTATATATATTATTATTTAGGATAAAAATAAAGGTCAGTGATTTATCCACAATAAAAAATTATAATATGAACACGGGCCATATGGCCCGTGCATTTATAATTAATTTTCACTAGATGATTCTGCTGCTGTTGATGATGGAATTGATGCTTGTTGCTGAGGCATATGTTCCTCAAAACCAGGAGCAGGTTTACATTTAGGAAATTCGATATCAGGTTTAAGTTTACGTAATTCGTTTTCTAACCAGATTCGATATGAATTGTTGTCTAA